GGGGTGGGGGGGGTTACCAACAAATTTGTCCGTGTCTCTATACTCTGTGACATATCCTGTGAGTGTAATGCCCCATTATATTGTTTATACCCTGCTGACCGCCCTCTGTGCCATTTACTTTAAGGCAGGGGTAAGCATCCTTGAAGAAGTGGAGATCTACCTGAACAACATGGGAAAGATCAAAGGAAGCAGCTCGATGCAGCTCACTTTTTTTTTTTTTTTTTAAGATAAGCTAGGCAAGGCCCCTTTAAAAAGTAAGGGTGGTTTGAAGAAAAATTAGGAAAATATGATAACACAAATGCCACTGTAAAAATAAAAACATATCCTACTTTTTTAGCTTTTAAGGGTCAGGAGTAAGCAACACAGAGTGCAGGGGTCAGGAGTAAATTATGCACAGTGCAGGGGTCAGGAGTAAATTATGCAGAGTGCAGGGGTCAGAAGTATGTAATGCACAGTGCAGGGGTCAGAAGTATGTAATGCAGAGTGCAGGGGTCAGAAGTATGTAATGCAGAGTGCAGGGGTCAGAAGTATGTAATGCAGAGTGCAGGGGTCAGAAGTATGTAATGCACAGTGCAGGGGTCAGAAGTATATAATGCACAGTGCAGGGGTCAGAAGTATATAATGCACAGTGCAGGGGTCAGAAGTATATAATGCACAGTGCAGGGGTCAGTCGTATATAATGCACAGTGCAGGGGTCAGTAGTATGTAGATTTCAGTGCAGCGGTCAGTAGTATGTAATGCAGAGTGCAGGGGTCAGTAGTATGTAATGCATTTTGTATTGTATAGAAAGGGAAAGTTAGAGCCTCTGTCAGGATTGTAATGATTTCTGGGTCTCTATTTTCCTTGCTTCCTGTAATTACGGCCTGTTTAAGAGTAAATTCTTAGTCAATGAATGGAAAAACTGGCCAATCCACCACTCCCCCTCCCCCCGAAAAAACTCAGCCAAAGGATGTCGGGGGGGCTATAGACATGCAAACCTTTCCCGAAGTGACCATAACTCTAATGTCTGTATATACATAAGCCCTTGTTATATAAACTCATGAAATAAAATCTATTGCATGAATAATATTAATCCTGGAAACCTGCTGAGGCTTGCATTCTCTCCAGTACATATTTGTAAAGAGAAGATATTTAGAGCATGGGACCTGTTGAGTCTATTTGCTGCATCTTTTGGCCGACACCGTGATTGCAGCGGAACATTTTTGATAACCCCAGCCAGCTCGGCGTTGTTTACTTGACAGATGCCCCCCAGATTCTCCCTTCTGCCTTTAATTAACAGCCTTAAACTGGGCAAAATATTGTAAGCAAAGCCGACCTCACAGATCGCATTCCATTCGGGGGTCCCGTACGGCCATGGTCCTAAAGTTTGATTTCCATTTTAATTTTTTTTTTGCTTGAAATGGAAGATCAGACTTTACAAAACAGTTTTCTGAAGTGATACTGAACCATATTGTGCATGTAAAGCCATCAGGTTTTTATTGTTTGAGTAATGGCTGTGCAAAAAGGAAGAGCCAAAAGCAAACGTATAAGGTCCAGATTCAGTTTTATGCAGACTGTTATTCTGATGGACCGGCTGGTACCCAGACTGGGTACCTCCGTCAGAAATCAGCTTACTCTCTGCTGGAAATCGAATTCTAGCATCTTTAGTCCAAACCTGCCTAATTATTGAGCGGAACCAATATATTAGGACTGAAAACTAAATTCCCAAAATAATAAGATTTACTCCAAATATCAGGCAACACCAATGTTGAAGTAAAAACAGGAACTGACTTTATTGAAAACCAGCTCAGTATATATGCAGTTCTGGTGGTATAAAAACATAACGCAATCAAAACATCGAGCACACAATCCCCTCCCCGGTGCCTACATTAAGAATAGGGAGTGTCTATCATATGGTAATGTCCTCAGCTACATCTAGTGACCAGTTAATCCCATTCTAAGCCCAATCAGACAAATAGACTCCCATTTCCAGTTCCCTAGTCAACTCCTCCCATACTCGCCTCCAGTTTTTCTCTGCTCCAGTTTTGATAAATTCCTCTCAATGTGTTGTGGCATTTCATCAGGGCTTGGTACTGTGAAACAAAGGGTGTACTGGAATGATAACATTGGAGGGATCCTCAGGGGTAATTAGTATGATCTCTTTACTGGCATCTGAGGCGGTCAAACTACTTACCCCTCCAATTTTATAAGTCCAGAACACACTTTGTCAAACAGTACCAAGCCCTGCTGAAGGGGGATCCTTTAAACCCCTAAAACGTCTTGGCTTTTTAATGATAGGAGTCTGAATAAAATTGAAATTGCTCTTTATACCTTTTGGTTTTGGCGTTTCCTCCTTGCACACCTCGTCACTACTCAAGCAAAGAGCTGACCTTCAGCTACCATTCCTCTGTAAGATGCCGAAGGGGAATCATTCTGTCTACACAACCTGACTGAGAGCAACTAGTGCTTTAAGAGATCTAGCACCCGACACTTCCTGAAGGTCTTTTAATTGTTGTGTTTCCCTATTGGTTTGATGGCCAATGGGCGTGCCTGTTCAGATGACAACTGTCCAAAAGGGGATAACCCCTTGCTTTTGAGTGGTATTCTCTCAAAAGCAAGGACAGCAAAAAATTGGATTGTGTCTTTGGTAATTTGTGTCCATTTAGCCTAATAGGCATTCGAGAGGTCAGGTACTAATGTTGAATGAGAAGGCCTGGCTC